ATGCTGGTGCAAGAGTCCCCATACACAGAATCTAACTCATCTTTGAATTGCGTAGGCGTAGGTATTGCCTTTCAAAAACAAATATTTAATGACAGCTCGATACTCGATTTTGTCCATTTTCATAAAAACACTCACATCAACTAACTCAAACGATTGTTACATAACAACTGCGCGTCCAAAATGGCTGAAACTTTGGTGAGTAACTGTCAACAGATGAAGAACGAAATTCACTAGCTTTTATTTACGAGTGCTGTCATCTTCATGTTGGCGGTCGGAAACTTTTCAGACCACCCTCGTAGTATTTGCTAGCGCTGGGGACAAGAGTGACCACTAAGCTGTTCCTTCAGTTTGTTCATAACGCTGACTCTTAAAAAAAGAGCGGTGAGCCTTTCGTCAAGTTGTTCCAAAGGTTCTTTAATTGGTACTTTTGTGAACAACGAAGTTACGCCAAAACTCACTGGGATATGATTAAAATATAGTTGGATTCTTTTGATTCTGTCAGTAAAATCTCTAGCATTTTAGAAATGGTATTCTGTCTTTTCTATTAGATCTTTAATTTGGTGAGATATGGCCTGGTTGAAATAGATTCATAAACAAGAATATTGGACTAGCCATTACAAGATTAGCGATAAACCCTAAGTAATACCATAATTATGGTGAGAGATTTTCAGAAGAAATAATGAATGAAGATGGGGGTAGAAAGAACTACCGGAACGTAATGGGCCAATGGCTACAAGCCTACAAACCTACAAGCCAGGCACCAGAACGCTACGGACCAATGCACCATATCAACTATAAAGGAGTATAAGCCAATGAAGTAGCAACATCACAAAAATTGTTCAATCATTGATAACTGCCACAGAAACCTGCAAATCAAGATTACGATTTTAATCTGAATTTCGTGCATTTTTATAGTCTGAGAATTTTCCCTTGAAATTTTTTTTGGACAACACATACGATTTCTGTTCCATACTAGTCGGTCCATTGAATATAAATTGTGTTTATAATTGAATGTATGCACCTTTAATAGCAGTAAGATATAAAAAATATATATAAACTTAAAAATATGCAAAACAGAATTGAGTTACTATAGTAGAATCGTATTCGATGCAAAGTAGAGCAAAAAATTTGTCGGCCATTTATCAAAGGAAAATCGTGTCATCATTTTTAGGAGGCGTAATGTGCAAAACCGTACTTATCTTATCAACTTCGACGTCACCTGTTACATAGGTGTTGTATAACAATGAAAAAGTAATATTAACGGTCGGTAGAAGGAAGCACAAAAAACAGGCACTTAGGTAGGAAATTCTGGAAGGAAGCCTAAATAGTTGAAGATAGTCAGTTGAAGTGCGAACAGTGTGGAGATCGGCAGTAAGACGATCGGCGGGCAGTGTGTCAAAGTAGTGNCCAGGTGCATCGAGTGTACGAAGTGGTCGGTTATACGTCAAATACTAACCTGGCGAGCTTGATCGTAAAGCAGGGAAAAATAAACAGTGGCGCGTACAGAGGTGAAATGTAGCACATATGTGGAATTTAAATAACAAATTGGATTTATAATAAATTACATTTAAAACAAATAGTTTATGAGAATAAAGGGATTTTTGTAGGAACAGGGTTCCAGACGTGAACTGATTCCTTCATCGCACCCCATTGCGATTCTATTTTTTAATAAGGAGAACGAAGTTTCAAAGCAAAAACCTTGTATAACAGATATACTATAAATATTTACAGAATGAAAACAAAATATAAATCCTATGATATGATTCTATTAAATGAAAACACTAACAACAATTCTCTATCAATCTCAACAAAATAAGTTATTTTTCTATCAAACAAGAAATATTAACAAACTATAAACAAAATATAAATTCTATGATTTATATACTGTACGCCGAACTGCATTTTTCTCATCTTCATTTAATATTAATTTCTTCTTTCCACCCCCTTTTTTAGATTTCTTAACGTCTCCTTCATTTTTCTTCTCTCTTAAAATTTTGAAAACAGATGATTCGCTTACTCCAGTATATCTAGAACACATTTCCACCAAACCAGTCTTCAGTTTCATGGGATGATTCTTTTCTAAAGCGTTATAGTCATTTAATATTATCGTTTTTTCTCTGTAACTTAATACAGATTTCTTTGTACCCACAGCAGTACATCCGGCTTGCGAACATCCAGGCACCCCCTCCATTTCTCCATATAACGACAAAAGATCAATAATAATGCAAAAAAACTTCACTTCACTAGCACAGAAAATATAATAACATTCACGATTCACAAACAACACCCCGAAAAACACACACAGCACACAAATAAAACACTAAAAACACTTTTGTTACGGAGCACAAGAAATATGATTTCACTCACAAATTCTCAAATAATAGCGCGAAACACACATACAGCCCGAACGAAATATAACGAAACTGACCACGCTGGGCTGGCACGCGCGCCGCCGCAACAAACACAACACACAAGTCATATGAGGGAGGATAAAGGAAGTAATAAATGTATTGTTGCCCTGCCGCCCAATGGGCGAAGGAGATGCCTTTGTTTTTCATTTTGTCCTTCATAAATATATAACTGTTAATCCATAATGCATAAAGAAATTAATCAATTTATAAACCCCTTAAAACCGTACTACAATGGATCCCTTGACAGGCAATGATTTATTACTTTGCATCGAATCTGATCCTATTATAGATAAAGTAACAGAAAATAAGAATAATAATATCTAATTCAAAGTTCTAACTACACTATGTCTTTTTTCCCTCTTAAACCAACGCTACCATTGTTACGTCATTTTTTGTCTACATATCTTTCTGTATACGTCTGGTTATGGTATTAACTAACTCTTGACACTCATTTGGGATGAAACTATCTTACATATTTTATAGTCGCGCTTGCACCTAATTCTATCTTTATGGGTTCTAAAGGTAATTTCTTCTTCTTTATATGTCATAAATACAAAATTGAGACAATAGGTAATTATTTGTCGTACAATCTGTTTCAAATTGTAATGTAGGATATCTACTCATTATTTTTTTTCAGTTTTTCTACCAAATTACAGAACATAGATATTTTCTACCTACTGCATATAGGTAGAAATTTCAATTAGCGGAGGTACTGACTGTGCGGTTTACAAATAATTTCAAAAGATATATTTGAAAAGACAAGGTTCATGAGAAAGGAATGCTGCCGTTGAATGTATGACGTTCGAGGTAATAAATGTAACAATAGTTATTTAGGTGTAATGAAAGAGCAGCTGTTCGAATGAGACAACGAAGGTGGTAATTGCTCCGCATGAACTGCGAACGAACAATAAGCCACTGTGCCTTGAGGATTTTCGCGTTCTTTCACGATTAATTTGAGACTGCAAATGCATTTACTCTACAGATTTAACAGCTTGTATTTCTATTCTTTCCAGTTAATAACGAATTTAAAGCAGATAAACTAGTCTTCTGTTTGAGAAAATACGTTAACTATTTAATATTATATGCGACAATTCAGTACTTATTTTAATTATAATGTGTTTCACTTAAAATCGAAACACCTCCGTATTTAGGATTCTTTTTTATGTAATAATAATCAAAAAGGCTTACATTTTGATTTTATATTTTTGACATGTTATCTTTTCCACGGCCTACTGTCATTAATAAATTAAAACAACATATTAGGCATTTTTTAAAGGAAGAAATGGATAGCATTTTCCATTTGATCACACCTCAAAACCATAAATACAAAGTTTCATTATTATAGCTTTTACAGAGTGTTCACAAAATAGGTGCAAACTTCGAAAAATTTCACTCATTGCAGAGTGTCCTGTATTAACATTGGAAAATATTTTTAAGGTATTTTTTCATAATTTTATTAACCGAAGTTTCATACAGGGTGCTCGTAACAAGACAGCCAAATTATATATTTTTTATTACACCAGAAATGAGTTTTACAATGAAATAAAATTTAAATATTACTGTTCTCTATTAGCCCACCATCATTTGCTATGCACTGTTCAATTCGTCTCCTCTTATTTCTAATAACACTCCTTAACTAACGTGTTATTTGTCGACATGCATGTCGAATTTGCTTAACTTCAAACCGCCAAAACTTGGTTTTTCCAAATGGAATACCCTGTATATTTAATCAAAATCTGTTGTAGAATTGTACTCTCTATCCATATTACACTTCTCTATATATCTGTCTCTAATTTTTCTGTTAGGTATTGACGATTTTTGTAATAAGTAATTAAAATGATCCAATTTCTTGCAAGGTTGGCTGTGAAATTGCTAGCAAACTTAGAAACAAAACAACGAGTATGTCATAAGTCATTTGCTGTTAGTCTGATAGTGGTAGTTAAATATTTATGAACAGCATTTGAATGCTATTTCCTTCATTTTCAAATCAGTATTTTGCCACTGCCAAACTAACAGCAAATGATGACTTATGACATATTGGCTATTTTGTTTTTAAGTTTGCTAGCAATTTCAGTCATCCTCGCAAGAAATTTGACTTTTTTTGAAATAAGTAATTGGAACGTCTCGAAGACCGTTAGGGATAAATATAGGGAAGCCCGATAAAAGTCTCCCTAAAATTACTAGTAGAATCGAAATATGCAAAAATATACAGGTGTTCCATTTAAATTAAGCAAGTAGAAGGCGACTTCTAGTACAACCGGAAGTGCTACAACAGTGACATTATTTTATTTAAAGAGAGCACCCATTTAAAGAGAGCAAATGTGTAAAAAAAAATTATCAGTGTAGTACCGATTAAAAATACATCTCTTAGTTTCCACCCCGTAAACACACATACGTTAAAAAGACGTTTGAATGTCCAAACACCATTAGATAAACGTGTCGTTTTTACACTTAAACGTGTCGCGGTTTTACACGTTTCAGGTTTGATTAAGGTAATTACTGGGTAAACAAATGTCAGTCGAATTATCTCTTTGTACGGGGTGTCTCTAGAAAACAGAAACACACTAAGCTGATTCTCTTTTGTTCCAGTGCAGCAGATGTACGGGTCGAATGGGGCCATGAAGCAAGGCGGCAGCATGACGACGCTGACGGGGGCAGGAGTGACGGCGACAGTGCAGCAGGGAAACTGGTGCCACCCTGCGGGCCCACTCGGGTTCCGCCTCAGCACGCCGGCCCGGGTCCGCCTCTACTGCCTGGCAAAGTGAGACACGCGCACGCGCCTAACGGGGGCGATGCAGACCACGTGTCTCAGAGTCAAAAAGACGAGTGGTTCGTCTAGCAGTAGGTGAGCAGAAATTTACTAATCTTCCTCTAATTCCACACAATCACAATGACACTCCAAATTGTTTTTGACAACAATTTGTGCAACTAAAAAATATGTAATATTTTAAAAAATAATGATCTTGATTAAGGTTATCAGTATCAACGGTTTTAGTAGGATAAACTCAATTTTTAATTCGGTGTTGTTTTAAGGTAGTGTAAAACAAAATCGAAATCCGCTAACAAAAATAAAACAGGGCGTCATGTATGTATGTATCTAATAATCTCTCGGGGTCTTATAGAGAAGGTCAAAATAATACTAGAACTTCCTACAATATCTTTCATAATGTTTCCCACCGGACCCCAATGGGTATTTGCGATAAAACTTAAAAACCTTTAAGTTTTTGATAAAAATTTAACATGGAGTGTACAGATAAGGTTCAATAATAATTAGATGTTAAACACGAGCCATATTTAGTAAATATCTAAGCTCATTCGTCAAGAGAGTCATCAAAGACAAACCAGTTTCGAACTTATTAATGTTCATCACTATGCTATAGCTAAAACGATCGATGAACGGTATAGCTTTNGGCATATTTTCTACATAAAAAAAGTAATGTATTGTACGTAAATTGTAAAAAACGAGTCATAAGGAGAATATTATTCTCTCCAAAAAAAGAAAAAAAAAATAACATCAAAATTTCACAACAGACAAAAATGCCGAATTTTGTATAACACGCTGTAAATTATAAATCTATAAGCGTACGTATAAAAATGTTATGTGTTGATCAAAAGGGTAGGGGGAATCCCTATAGATCATTAAATCAACCTAATTTTATCAAGGACATTTGGTCAAAAAAGAGAAAATAATTCCCAGTGTCTTCAGCAAAATTTATAAATGTAAAAACTGTTTGTCTATACTGTAATCGCAACACTATTGAATTTATTTATATAGGGTTACTCGAAAGTAGCTTATAATATTTTACATACACCTTCTATGACTAAGATGTAAAGGGGAGAAATATCTTCTGTGAAGGCTACAACTCGATAAAACTGAGATGTTGAAAACTGTGCTTTGAAAATTAGTTACAATTGCTTGATAACGTATAAAAATGTTTTATCAAATAGTTGAAAAATCCATATATAAAAAAGTTTACCCACAACTTCCTCAGTTTGGGGCGCCCCTGATTAAATTTAGATATATTTTACTCTTAGGTTCAAAACTTAACAGAAATCTTCAATTTCTAATTGTTTTGTTTTATATTGAACGGTTTCGGAGATATCTGGAAAAAATAACACACTCATTTATGTAAAATTTCTTTGCCTGTTCTACATAGATTTTATCTGTTATTTGTAGTCGTAGGATGCGTTGTTAAACATTGTAGGTCAAGTTTGCATTACCTTGTACAGTAATGGCTGTATATGTATATATGTATGTATGTATGTATTAACAAAAAAAAGACGAAATTTTCAATACGTGTTGTACTTCAGAAACTGTTGACGTCTACGAGTATCTTCTATTTCTAAACTTTAGTATACAAAAATATACTGAAAAAACTTACTTATGTCTTAAACGGTAATATACAATAGATATCCAGAAAAAATTATGAGAATACATTTATTCGGTGCTCAAATATATAGGAACCAAAAAATTAGTTTTTTTAAGTTCTTCAATCAAAATTACGACTTACTTGTATATTCGCAAGCAAATCATTTATTGGGATATGTACAAGCATATCACAATTTTGATTTAAATAAAATAATTTCACTTGGATAAATAAATTTTTACCTAAGAACGAGTTTATAAATTCAAGATATGATTTTTAAATATATGTCCTTGATTCGAAATAATAATCGCGTTTTTCTGTATGGCCAAATTAATTTTATTATCGTAAGTCTGAAAAAGAAAAGGAAACATTTTATCAGAACACTATCACTTACTAACTGAGCAGACCAAAATTCTTACATATGTATAAAGTGTTGCCTATTAGCCAACATGATCGTGTGGAATATTAGATCTGCACCTAAAATCTATTTTGGGTAAATCATTGCCACTGAAGGGCATATTCTAATAAATTTTTAAAGGCGTTATATTGAGATTTACATGTAGGTCTTGAAATATACAGTTAGTCTCTAAAGTTACGTATAAATTCGTTGGAGACAGTTTATCATTTCAAGGAAAACAGTTATATACAAGGCGACCCATGTAGAAGCCATGACATCGTCGAAGTGAAGTTTTTTTAAATAATTCCAGCTCATTTAAATGTTCGAAGTTTTTGTTCAGAAATTTTTAAATTATTGTCTGAAATTAGTTATTTATAGCACAATTTTAATTCTTTCTCAGTCTATTTTGGATATACATACTGTCGTTTGCACTAAATTAAATAAATTTTAATAAAATTAACCCTACCGCCAACAAAATCGCTTAAAGCTTTTATGATTTTCTGTAGGTTTAATAAAAAAATTACAGTGAAAAATGTAAACAAATTAAAAGTACGTATCACTATATTTAATTATTAAAAAAATACTGATTAGAAACTATCTTAAAGAAAAGAGATGTAGTGCGTTTTTTATGTCTACAGTGTGAAATAATTGATTAGACAAAAATTGTAAAAACAACTCTTAATCCGTTCGATGAAAGGGTTAGATTAATATTTTCTTTTGTAAATGACAAAATACCTGACACTGGTTAAATGCGAAAGTAAGGATTTTCTCACAGCATAGTCGACACATTTTCTCTCCCTTATTTTTTTTTGTTTATGAACGTTCTTATCATTTAACTTAATTGCAATAGAACAGATGTACACACATACAAAAAAATAAATAATAAAATGAAGTGAACATTTTAATTAACAAATGCTATCTTCTATATGATAACGGCACAGAATACGTGATATTACACATAAAGAACTAAAAAAATAATTAACAATTAGCTGCATTATATTTTACGTTGAATTTTTAATATAAAATTTTATATGAGTTGAAAAAATAACATTTCTATTTCGAGATGAAGTATTTTTTTCGTTTGTTCATTACGAAAAACATTGAATCTCTTGTTGCAAAATATATAGGGTGCCCCAAAAGTAACGCAGGATTTGAATTGTGCGCCATGTTGATCACATGTTGTAGTAAACACGTTGCGATAGAACGCTATATGACGGATGAGTGAGTGAAGATTGTGAAAATTTATTACAAGTACGAAGAATGTGTAGCTGAGACTGTGCGCAAATCACGTGGAATTTTCGGTAGAAGGAATGCTACGAATGAAACAACTGTGAAAAGATCAGTTGCCAAATTTGAACAAACGGGTTCGGTTGCAGACAATAAAAAAACAGGTCAGCCTTGTATCGGCCGTTCAGCCGAAAATATTGCTATGGTGTGAGGAAATTCTCGTAACCTCGTTCACCATTGATCATTACAATTAAACATTTCAAAAAGCACAATACAGCGGATTTTAACAAAAAAATTTGCAATGCAAAAGCAAAAATTAACGAGATCCAATGTAGCACTATCCCAAAATAAAATTGAAAACACTGGCTCGTGCATTATTTTTGTACTGTACAACAGTGGTTTGTTCAGATTAAGGACTACATTTTCATATTTGTTCATTCTTCTATTAGATAAATAAATAGTTTATATATAATAGTTTATATAATACTTACTTATTATTAAACTCCTTTTGCAATAAAATTANTAATATCTCATAAATAAAGCTCGGGGTTTTCGTCGGCTGGTCATAGGCGTGTTCGTCGTAAACAAATAAATAAACAGGTAGGTAAATAAAAATAAATAAATTTACGTACTTTATCAGCGAAATGTCGTTTTTTACCCCTTGTTCAACATTATTAGAATATTAAAACACGTATACACGAAGCAAGCTCGAACCCAATAACTGCCGTTATTACCGGTTTCGTACGGTGCGCTGTAGCGAAAGGCCGACGCGACGGCTATGATCATCCAACCGGGTCCCGAGCTCTACTCATAAATCATTAAAACATACATTACAATTACATTAAAATTGTGCAAGCTAACAAAAATATAGGAATCTAATGTTTAATATTACAACACAGTTCCTTCCAACCACAGTGCAGGAGGAAAGATGTGGAGGGAAGGGGGTCAATGGTTGCTACAACTTTTTTCCTTCGTTCACGCTTCAATTATTTTAATGGAAAGTACACAAAAACTGTGCCATGAGATAAAAGTCTGTATAAAATTTCGGTTAAACGTGAAAAGAAACAAAGGAGTCGTTAATAAAAATCTTTGTTTAAATGATAACTTTACCCCATCTAACGACAAATGAAAATGATAAATAAAATCTTATTATTCTCTTTAAAAAAATTGGTGCTAAATGCATGACCTACTTTTTTAACATTAACATGTAACATGTAACATTCTGTATATTAAAGGATACATTCAAGAACTAATACCATTTTTGTCATGTCTCACATAAATTTGAACTTATATTTTCCTTAAATTTGGGAATATCCATTACTTTGAATGAACATTTTAATTATATTCAGGGATACAATATATGTAATTCGTTTTTAACTAGCCCTGTCAATTAGTGGCCCTATGCTACCTCATCGATGAACATTTTAAATGACGAGGTTCAACAATGCTCATTAAACTTATGCTGTATATTTCATAAGGAATTCGAAACATGAAATCCATTAAACATTAGTTGACAAGTTGACTGAACATTTGATGTATCAATAAATAGATGTGTAGGAATTAATTTTGTGTAATTGGTAGCATTTATTAAATATTTACTGATGTATTATGAATTTGTAATTAAATTGATATTTAATAGTGGTATTAATAAATACTCGTATATTTATTAATAGAGTAATAGATACAAATAAATAATTAATTAACGATTTAACTGTTGTTATTAAAATTATTTAGAGCAATTTAATAAAAAAATTGAACAAATTTTAATAGAAACATTGCGAATTCATGCAAATGTAGACACCTGCAGTAGAACTGTTTACGCTTTGTACTGCTAATACAGTGAGAATAAATTGT